TTTGCCTGATTGTTCTGGCCAAGGTTTCCAAAACCATGTTAAAAAGGAGAGGTGAGAGGGAGCATTCTTGTCTTGTGCTACTTATCAAGGGGAAAAACTAATTTTTCAGCATGATGAAAAATCAGTATGATGTTGGCTATGGATTTGTCATAGATGACTCATGACTTTGAGGTATGTTCCTTTAACACCTAGTTTACTGAGTTTTTAACCTGAAGAGAGGATGAATTTTATTGATAGCCTTTTCTGCTTCTATTGAGATAATCATGTGATTATTGCCTGTTCTTTTTATGTGATAAATCACACCTACTGGCTTGCATATGTTGGACCAACCTTGCATCTCAGGAATAAAGCCTAATTTCATAGATTCACTTTTTGATGTGCTGCTGGATTTGGTTTGCAGGTATTTTCTTTGAGGATTGTTCCATCAATGTTCATCAAGGTTATTGGCCTGAAGTTTTTTTTTTTTGTGCTTTTTAAGTTCTGGGGTACACGTACAGATCTTGCAGGACTGTACATAGGAATACACATGCCATGGTGCTTTGCTGCCTCCATCTCCCCATCACCTACATTAGGTGTTTCTAATGTTATCCCTCCCCAATCTCCCCATGCCCTACTATCTCTACTCTAGCCCCCCACCCCCCCCAACAGTGCTATGTTCCCCTTCCTGTGTCCATGTGTTCTCATTGTTCAACACCCACTTATGAGTGAGAACATGCAGTATTTGGTTTTCTGTTCTTGTGTCAGTTTGCTGATAATGATGGTTTCCAGATTCATCCATGTCACTGCAAAGGACACAAACTCATCCTTTTTTATGGCTGCAGAGTATTCCATGGTGTATATGTGCCACATTTTTTTATCCAGTCTATCATTGATGGGCATTTGGGTTGGTTCCAAGTCTTTGCTATTGTAAACAGTGCGGCAATGAACATACATGTGCATGTTTCTTTATAATACATCAATTTACAATCCTTTGAGTATATACTTAGTAGTAGGATTGCTGGGTCAAATGGTATTTCTATTTCCAGGAGAGAAATGTGTATTGATATTTAAAACAAGTGGAGTATGGAGAATCAAGGATTTTATATACAGTGAGGAAAGGGTAAGAGAAAAATTACAAGCCTCAGTATTGTTCAGGAATTATATCTGCTTAGATGCTAGGAAAGATCTTCTCATAGCACATCAACTAAATAGGGAGTAGAATACAACTTCTGACATAGTGCATGTCTCAAACTCATTAGGAGATTTCTGTAAGTATCCTCCTTCTATAAAAAAATTAAAAATTATATCTATACTATTTTAAAATAAAAAAACCTGTACGTAATATACATTCATTTATATATAATTTATATACTACAGATATGCTTTATTTATATACACGATATATAGTATATGCACTAGTTAAATATATATAAATATTAAACAATATGTTTTTATATAGAGAACTTCAAGAGGAGGATATAAAAATCAGTTTGTGGCTGGGTGCATATGCCTGTAATCCCAGCACTTTGGGAGGCCAAGGTGGGTGGATCACTAGGTCAAGAGATCGAGACCATCCTGGCCAAGGTGGTGAAACCCCATCTCTACTAAAAATACAAAAATTTAGCCAGGCGTGGTGGTGAGTGCCTGTAATCTGAGCTACTCAGGAGGCTGAGGCAGAAAAAAATCACTTGAACCTGGGAGGTGGAAGTTGAAGTGAACCGAGATCGTGCCACTGCTCTCCAGGGCAAGACTCCGTCTCAAAAAAAAAAAAAAAAAAAAATCAGTTTGTATACATTTAATAGCATATCTTCAAAGTATATGAAAGAAAAGCAAAGCTTGTCACAAAAAAAGTAGACAAATTAGCAAATATAGTTGCAAGTATTAGCACTCAATTAGACAGTGTTTGACAAACTCACGCAATCTCTTTCTCTTGAAAGCATACTTTTCACCCTTCCTTCTCTTTTTCCTTAGTACACTAGCAGCTCCCTTTCAGCCTCTTTTCCTGGATTCACGAACTCCAGGTAAGCTCTAAATGTTGATATACTCTAGATTTCTAGGATAATTTTCTTTATATCTGTGATGACTCTCTTGGTACTTTTAGTCTCAAGGCATTACCCATCAACTATATACAGATATTTCCCAGATTTATATTTTTCCCCTCACCTCTTTCCTGAACTCCAGATTCATAGAAACAGTCTTGTATTTGATATTTCCAATTGTGTGTTTAAATAAAAACCCAGATATATTAAAACTGACATTGATTTCTGTGACATCTCCTTCCAAGTAACAAAAATCATGATTTGTCAAATATTCTCTATTTTGACAAATGCCCCATGATTCAAACAGTTGCTCAGGCTAGAATCTTGTATTTACTGGCTATTTTACTAACCAGATCTCACAGCTATTCTCTCTTGAAAGCTCTTAAAAGCTTATGGACTCCAACTTTAAAATATATATATTTATTTTTTTTTGAGACAGAGTTTCACTCTGGAGTGCAGTGGCATGATTTTGGCTCATGCAACCTCCTCCTCCTGGGTTCAAGCTATTCTCCTGCCTCAGCCTCCTGAGTACAGTTGCGATTACAGGTGTGCACCACCACACCAGCTAATTTTTGTATTTTTAGTTGAGATGGGGTTTCACCATGTTGGCCAGGATAGTCTCGATGTCTTGACCTTGTGACCCGCCCGCTTCAGCCTCCCAAAGTGCTGGGATTACAGGCTTGAGCCACCATGCCCAGCCTAAACCATCTGAAATACAACCAGCTTTTACAAATTTCACTAATGCCCTCTACTCGGGCCTTATCCTTCCTGCTAATTAATGATTTCAAAAATCTCCAAAATGGTTTCCCTGCCTCTCTTCTCACTCTATAAACTTTCTTCACACTTCACTTACAGCACTAATCGAAAGTTATTTAGAGAAAAAAAATGAGATTAGACACAACCCTTACATACTTTATGATATCTAACTCAAAATGCATCATGGACCGAAATGTAAAATGCAAAACTATAAAACTCGTAGAAGTTAACAAAAGAGAAGGTGTAGATGACGCTGGTCTTGACAACGACTTTTTAGACATATTACCAAAGCACAATCCATGAAAAAAAGGTGATAGATTTTATAATTATAGACTTTTGCTGTGAAAAACACTCTTCAGAAAATAAAAAGACTAGTCACATACTAGGAGCCCGGGAGTTTTGCAAAACACATATTTGATACGTTGCTTGTATGCATAATATACAAAGAACTTTTACACCTTAACAGTAAGAAAACAAATGACTCATTTAAGAAACAGACAAAACATCTGAACAGACACCTCACCAAAGAAGATATACTGATAAATGTAGCAAAAGATGTGCAACAACATATGTCATTAGAGAATTACAAATGAAAACAAGATGAGATACTACAAAGCTTAAAGCCCTCTGACAACAAAGGCTAGTGAGGAAATGGAGCAACAGAGCTCTCATTCACTGCTGGTGGAAAGGCAAAATAATACAGCTGCTTTGGAAGGTAGTTGGAGAATTTCTTAAAAAATGAAACATAATACTTATTACGTGATCCAGCAATTACACTCATTGATATTTATCGAAATCAGTTATAAACTTATGCATACATAAAATACATTTATGAACATAGCGGCTTTATTCATATTTGCCAAAACTTGGAGGCAGCCATGAGGTCTTTCAATGGTGGACACTCAAACTATGGAATATTACTCGGTGATAAAGAAATAAACTATTCCACAACAAAAAGAGGAATCTTAAGTACAGATTAATAAATCAACCTGAAAAAGCTACCTGCTATATGACTCCAATTATGTATCATTCCGAATAAGGCGTAACTATGAATCAGTAGTTGAGAACAATGAATAAGGCACAGGAGATGTTTAGGGCCAGTGAACGTACGGTGTCTGAATGATACTATAATGGTAAATACACTTTTCAAAACCCAGACGATATACAATACAAGGAGTAAACCCTGATATAAACTAGGGACTTAATGATTATATATCGACATTGATACATCAAAGTGAGGGAAGCTGTTCTGTTTCTGGGTCCACAAGGAGGTGCAGCTTTAAAGACAAGAACTTCCCAGCGCCATGCCCCCCTCCCACCTCTCTCCATCCAGGAGATTTAATGGTTTATGTTTGAATTTCACGGTCTAGGGAAGAAACTAAGAGTCAGTCACCCCAGTGGAAGTTCTAAGGAACTCCTTTCATTGGCCTGGGGTCTTGGAGAAAGTGGGGGTTCCTCCCAGGTTAGAAGCCCCCTTCTTCCACACCACTTTGGACTCCATGTTTGGGTCCCTTCCAGGAACACCCCCTTGGTGGAAGCCGTCTTTTCCTCTCCTGGATTTCCCCTCTGGAGTCCCCTTCCACACTCTCTCGTGGAAGCCTGTCTTCCCTCCTAAACTCCATCTCTCTATTCCCTTCCACTCAGTGTGGAAGCTGCTTTCCTCTCCCGGGTTCCATCTTTCTGGATTCTCTCACTCGGTGAGAGTCAGCTGTTTCTTTCTCTCTCCTCCTCCTGTTTCTCTCTCTAAATAAATCACTTTCTACAAACACTTTTGAGTCCGGCATTTACTGCGCGCTGCACCGCGGTCCCCTCTCTCATTCTTCAGAGGGCAGGAGACCAAGAACCTGGAGAAACGTCCTCTCAGGGGAGCTGAGGGCACCCTGAACCCCAATATTACATTTTGGCGAGCCAGCCAGGAGAGGGGTTCACAAGAGGGGTACGCCAGGAGAGGGTACAGCCGGAGAAGACGACGTAAAAATCATGAGTAAAATCAGCCCCAATCTGTTCAGTGTCTTTGAGAACAGCTGAAGCGGCTGCAGCCAAGCAGGGCTGTGGGGAACCTGAGGGGCGCGGGGGAGCCAGCCTCGGAGGCAACACCCGGCCCTGGAGGCGCGACCCAGCCATGGAGTTACCACCCAGCCCTGGAGACACGACCCAGCCATGGAGACACCACCCAGCCATGGAGGCACCGCCCGGCCCAGCCAGAATTAAAAGTGAAGTTTTTACCTTCAAGCTCTCTCTGCTTTCCGTCTCCTTCTCCATCCTTGGATGTTATCTGGGGAAACTCTGAAGGAGCCCCCGGGCCTTTCCTCCTTGGAGACCCGCGCAGCCCCCATGGGCCCCGGTGCCTGCAGCAGCGCAGCCGCCAGCCCCGCGGGCCGGAGGAAAACAGCGGGGAGGGCGTGGTGCAGCGCAGCCCGCAGGGGACCCGGGAGGCCGCAGCCTGGCGCGTGGCTCCGGAGACCTCTCCGGCCTCCCCCAGTCCCAGGCCGCGGGGTGAAAACGCTCCCCGGGACGTTGGCCACAGGCTCCTGTGTGGGGGCGGCTCGGGGAGGGGCCCAAGTGCGCACGGGGCTCTCACGGGGTCCACGTGGCGCCTGAAAGCCGCGGGCCGAGGGAACCCGCTGCAGCTGTGAACGCCGCGTCTAAACTGACGGGCCAGCAGCTGTTTTCCTCCGCAGGTGCAGGTGCGGCTGTGACCGTCAGCCCCGCCCGGCCCCCGAGGGTGCAGCGTTCTCTCTCCAAGTGTGGCCTAAGAAAGCTTCTGCCTTTGCCTCGTGCCAGTGGCCTGTTTGCACACCTGGTTAAGGTGTGGGGCCTGCAGAGTTGCTAGTTCCCATCCCTGGTGCAGCCAGTCTTGACGTGGGGAGATCTTTGGGGGAAATTCAGAAGCTGAAGGCTGTGGGACTTTGTGTTTGGTGTATAATTTGTCTTTCTTAGGATTCACTCTCTATGGCAGAACTTTTTCATCTAGAAAATCATAGTTAAAGCAGTTCCAGGGCCAAATAGTCCATGGCAGGTCTCACAACCTCAGAGCATTTTCCTACAAGGGAAGACGGGTTAGGGGAGAGGAGGCCGGGTCCTGAGGGTCCTTAAGGACATTTTCCTACAAGGGAAGGTGGGTTAGGGGAGACGAGGCCCGGGTCCTGAGGGTCCTTAAGGACATTTTCCTACAAGGGAAGACGGGTTAGGGGAGAGGAGGCCCGGGTCCTGAGGGTCCTTAAGGACATTTTCCTACAAGGGAAGGTGGGTTAGGGGAGAGGAGACCCGGGTCCTGAGGGTCCTTAAGGACATTTTCCTACAAGGGAAGGTGGGTAAGGGGAGACGAGGCCCGGGTCCTGAGGGTCCTTAAGGGCATTTTCCTGCAAGGGAAGGTGGGTTAGGGGAGAGGAGGCCCGGGTCCTGAGGGTCCTTAAGGACATTTTCCTACAAGGGAAGACGGGTTAGGGGAGAGGAGGTCCGGGTCCTGAGGGTCCTTAAGGGCACTTTCCTACAAGGGAAGGTGGGTTAGGGGAGACGAGGCCGGAGTCCTGAGGGTCCTTAAGGACATTTTCCTACAAGGGAAGATGGGTTAGGGGAGAGGAGGCCCGGGTCCTGAGGGTATTGTCCCTGCCTCGGCCACGTGGCCTGCCTTCTTTGAGCTGTGAGCTCTAACGGCCCCTCCCTAGAAGTTTACCCTTCTGGGGCAGGTTTATAATCCGGCCTGTGTAAATTGGACTTTTGCTGGGAAGTATTGGCACCCACCTCCTGAGCCTCAGTGGCCTTGTTGGGGCTCGTTGGTACGTGACAACCCACCCACCCAATAGCCCCTCTCGATCCACACCTCTGTGGGAGTCACTGGAGCGCATGCAGGCAGTGAGGGGGTCCCATGACCTCGTAGGTCATGACTGGAATCCAGCACATGGGAGGACGCATCTTGGGCACATGAAATTTCGGGGTACTGACTGAAAGACGTTTCATTTCAGTACCCACTTTACCTGGGGGACACCTCAGGTCAAAGTGGCTGTAATTTCTTTAACTGGGGTGCGGGCATCCCTTGTGTTCGATTTCTGATGGGTGCTTCTATTCCCAAGCTCAAGCCTCCATTAAAGTGTATACTGGAAAATTGGGACCAATTCAGCAGAGTCTTTAAGAAAGAAGTGGCTTTCTTTTCCCTGCCAAACAGCATGGCCAGATTACCCTCTGCCGAGTGGAAAATCTGGCCCCCAAAGGGAAGGGAAGAAAACCCCACAGCTTCCCTGGAGCAATTGCAGGAGGCCTAAGGAAGTACACCGCCCTGTCACCAGACTCCATAGAGGGTCAGTTCATACTAAAGGACAAGTTTATTACTTAGCCCCAGTTATCAGGAAGAAGCTCCAGAAACTGGCCTTGGGGCCGGCGCAGAGTCTAGAATCATTACTGAACCAGGCAACCTCCGTGTTTTATAATGGAGGCCAGGAGGGACAGGCTGAAAGGAACGGGAGAGCTCAGCCTCCGTCATGGCTTTCAGGCAAGCAGACCCAGGGGCTCAAATGAGGGAAGGGCTTGGGGTAGCCGCCAGCCTGGCAGAACTTGTTATCAGAGCGGTCTGAAGGCACATTTTATAAGAAATTGTCCGCAGAGGAATGGACCACCATCTCCTCCTTGCCTGCTGTGCCAAGGGAATCACTGGAGAGCACACTGTCCCAGGGGATGAAGGTCCCCAGGGCCTGAGGGGTCTGACCAGATGACCCAATGGCAGGACTGAGGATTCCTGGAGCAAGTGCCACCATGAGCCGTCACCCTCACAGAGCCCGGGGAAAGTTGGCCATAGAGGTCCAGGAAGTTAATTTCCTGGACACCGCGGCCTTCTCAGTTTCTCTCCTGCCCTGGAGGCTTGGTGCTTGTTAATTCTCTCCCCTCAGACTCTCCCTTTCTAGGCCCATCCTGGGAAGGACCGTTTTCGGTCATTCTGTGCACTCCAACGGCAGTTAAGGTGGTGGAAATAGACTCGTGGATTCATCACACTCGGCTGAAGCCTTGGACACCTCCTGAGCAAAGTCACAGACCCTCCGCTCTGCAGCCTGCAGTTCCAGGAGACCCCTTCATCCACCTGCGAGCCATTAGATCTACATCTGCTTTTTCAACAACATCCTCAGGGAAGCAGCCACTCGTAAGTCTAATTTATATCCTGGCATTGACAGGACTGTAACCCTCAACTTTGCTCTCTCTCAGACTCTGATTATCCTTTTCATAGTGGGAAGGGAAGCTGCCTCTTCCTAGGAAAAGTGCTGCTGTTTTGTAAACCAGTTAAGTGTTGTTTTCAGCCTAGAACTCAGGAATCAAACACAGGGCTGAAGACCTTCAAGGCCCAGTATTGTGAAGCTTGTTTAACAACGGACTGTCCTGGCTCTGCTCTCCCAGGCTCCTTTATAACCATTCTGTATTTGCTGGCCTCTGGGCCTCTCATCTTTAACCACCTGTCACATCCGTTTCTCATGGAACCATAAGGTCACAAAATCCTGCCACTGCAAGCCCAGGTGTCCTTGGCTCGTGGGCTCTATCGTGGATCTCAGGATCAACCTACACCCCTGAAAAGCTCCCCTCTGAAGGAAGCCTCAACTGCAGGGCCCCTTCTATGCCCCATTTCAGCAGGAAGTAGTTAAAGAGAATCCACACCCGTGTTCCAAGTTGGGTTTTCCTGTTGAGAGGGAGGGAATGAGGGAAGCTGTTCTCTTTCTGGGTCCGCAGGGGGCGTAGTTTTAAGGGCAAGAACTTCCCAGCGCCATGCCCCCCTCCCTCTCTCTCCATCTGGGAGATTTAACAGTTTATGTTTAAATTTTGTGGGCACAGGAAGAAACTAAGAGTCAGTCACTCCAGCGGAAGTTCTGAGGAACTCCTTTCATTGGCCTGGGGTCTTGGAGAAGGCGGGGTTCCTCCCAGGTTAGAAGCCCCCTTCTTCCACACCCCTTCGGCCTCCATGTTTGGGTCCCTCCCAGGAACACTCCCTTGGTGGAAGCCGTCTTTCCCTCTCCTGGATTTCCCCTCAGTGCGGAAGCTGCTTTCCTGTCCTGGGTTCCATCTTTCTGGATTCTCTCACTCGGTGAGAGTCAGCTGTTTCTTTCTCTCTCCTTCTCCTGTTTCTCTCTCTAAATAAATCACTTTCTACAAGCACTTTTGAGTCCGGCATTTACTGCGCGCTGCGCCCTGCGCCGTGGTCCCCTCTCTCATTCTTCAGAGGGCAGGAGACCAAGAACCTGCAGAAACGTCCTCTCAGGGGAGCTGAGGGCACCCCGAACCCCAATATTACAAAAGGTACCATAGTAATGAAACATATTAAGAGGAAAATCTATGGGGATGGAGTAGGGTGAAGGTCTACTTCCTTTCTCTGTAATTCTAAAGTGCTCTAAATAATAAAGCCTGTTAATACTTTAGATAGCTATTGAAATAATATGCTTACTTGGTTAGATATATCCCGTATGTTGTCAGAGTTAGCGTAAGTCATTGCCGGAATTGCAGACAGACTGCTCAGCTCATCTCCTGGCCTCCTTTGTTTCTTCGGCCATTTCGTGCCTCTTCTTCACCAACCCTGGTCTTGCCTTTATTAAACAAACGAAGCATGTTTCTCTTTGTAGCCTTTGCTTCTGCCACACCTGCTACCTGGAATACTCTTGCATTTTTTGCTTGCATGGCTTTCTTCTTTTACGCTAATGCGAGATGCCATTTCATTAGGGAAAGTTTCTTATTTTATTTTTTATTATTTTTTTGTTTGAGACGGAGTTTCGCTCTTGTTACCCAGGCTGGAGTGCAATGGTGCGATCTCGGCTCACCGCAACCTCCGCCTCCTGGGATAAGGCAATTCTCCTGCCTCAGCCTCCTGAGTAGCTGGGATTACAGGCACGCGCCCCCGTGCCCAGCTAATTTTTTGTATTTTTAGTAGAGACGGGGTTTCACCATGTTGACCGGGATGGTCTCGATCTCTTGACCTCATGATCCACCCGCCTTGGCCTCCCAAAGTGCTGGAATACAGGCGTGAGCCACCGCACCCGGCTGAGAATTTCTTTTATTTAAAAGAACATCCAGTGTTGCTCTATGCCCCCTCTGCTGCCCACCTCTTTTAAAAACTTATATGTGTTTTATATTTCATATTGATGTGTGATTGTTGTCTATTTTCATGAGTATTTAAGTTTCATGAAAGAAAGGACTTTGTATTGTTCAATGCTGTATCCAAACTTCACAGAGTAATTACCGTCATTTAGTAGGTTTTCCCCAAATAGTTGTAGAATGAGCAATTGAAGGACTTACAAGGAGCCATTTTTAAATATTTTGAGAACTTCTATAGATATAAAAAAGTTAGAAGTAAAAAATTCCTATTTACCATGACCAAGTTTTAAGCATTATCAACACTTTGAAGAGACTCACCAAATACACTGCATGCATATATATATATATAAAATGTGAATGGCAGTTCATTTTGTCAAAATCTTTTGAGTAAATGGTTTGCACAGCTGACAAAAATGTCATTTTTGCACCCACTGCATTATTAAAACAAATTCATATAAACAAAATAACGTGTATCATTATAAAACACTGTATGTGAGTATATTAAAGAATCGTTCCATACGCCCAGGTCAACAACAAGTAATACAGCAGATTGAACACACAGTTCAGAAATATTTATCCTGACTTGCTGCTCTTTGTTTCATACAATTATTTCTTTTCCACCTTCAGGGAAGCACTTTTATCTTTATCTTTTCCATTTCTCATATCTCTGTGGCTTCCTCTTCAAAGGCCTCCTGGAACCTGCCTCACTGGGACGCTTTCTGCCTAAACAGTTTGATGTTTTATACCCAGCCTTTTCAGTTTATCTTACCAACTAAGCAATGCCTCACTGAAAAACTTTCATAATTGGTCTAGAGGTTCTGTCAATTTTCTGTACTCATACCATTTCATGTTTTAATGAATTCACTCAGCTTTCAAATATATTCCACAGAAAGAATATGTAAACTATTAATTTCCACCTGTG